TACCCATGTAACATTGGAAGACGGCCTTAGCGGGTTTTAGCTACGACTAAGATTGGAAAACTCCTGTAAAGGGAAGCCAAGGTGGTTGATTGTTTGAAGACACACATGTTTAAGTGAGGGGGTAAACACATAATTGTTGTCCCCTAAGGACATTGTGTGAAGCAGCATCGGACCCTCCAAAGAGGTCTGGATCATCGGAAGGCACCCATTTGAGGTCCCAAGGTTTCTGAAGAACTTGGCAAAGCCACCTGGGGGTGTCTCTTTTTAGGGTACTTGTTTTTGCAGTTGGTTAAAAGGGAAACCAACAGGAAACCAACCACTTTGAGGGGTCCCCGATTTGGAGACAAGCCCACATCTGTTGTTGACACTTCTTTGAGGTTCTCCCTGCCTTAAAAGGTTTTTAAGAGAAAAGAGTAGCCACCCATGGGGCCATTTCCCACATTGCGAGACGCCCCTGGTGGTCGCGTTGCATCGCGCGGCGGGTTTCAGGGCTTTCCCAACGAGCCCCCGCCGGAGCAAATGGCCCGCGCCGCCTCCGCCGCTCTGCTGCAAGGCGTGGCTGCCGAGCTGAGAGGATGTGCAGAGGGCAAGATGGGTTCTGTTTGTCATTTTTTTGGGGGTCCCCAAAAGTTTGTGGTTGTCCTTTAGGTTTTCCTTAAAACTGAGCAAAAGGGTACCACCACAGAAAGGACAGACTCAAATGGATTTGTTTTGTTTGCCAAAATGGTGGTTTTTCTTTAAAACGGACCAACAAGGGGTACCACCAAGAAAAGCCAGACCCAAATGGCAATGGCTTGTTTTGTTTTTTTCCACGTACCCTTGTGGGCTTGAAAGGGCGACCAAAAAAGCAACGCATTTTGGGGGTCCGCCACTTTGAGGTACCCGCCCCCCCCCCACCCCCAACCCATTCTGTTTGTTTAGACTCTCACATGTACCCCTTTCAAGGGGTTGCTTTGAAGGGAAAACAAAAAACGGAGCCCCCAAGCCTTGGGTGGGTGGGTGGGTCAGGGCCAAGGAAAATCCGCCCAAACCACGGCGGCGTCCGGCCGCGTCGCGTTTCTTCGGAGGAGCTTCGCTGGAGACGGTGCAGATCTTCGCCCCGCGCTTGGAGCAGCTGTTGGCAGAGGCGCGGGGGACGGGGGGAGGGGGGCGGGGGGCGAGGGGTGGGTGGGTGGAATATGGCGGGCGGGTGGTGGTGGGGTTAGGGCTACGTGACAGCGACCAAGGGAATCCCCTCTGTGATATTGGAGCATGGTAGTGCGCAGATTATTCGCACATGGGCAAAATCCATTTCGCACCTAGAAACCCTGAACTGATAGTTCCCCAATAGCCAAGCAACCACGGCTTCTCATGGTTTCCAAGTTCTATTGGTTGATTCCCTATTCTTTTCAACCATCGTTCCTTTCACAAAGCGGTTGTTTCCGCTTGTTTCCGCTGGTTTCCGCTGGGTTTTTGAGGGTTTCCTGAAAAGATTCGGATCCCGGGAAAGAATGGCTGGAAGCTCCCCCTAGACCCCTAGACCAGTGGTGCCACTGGTCCACGCGGAGGTGCCGCAGGCGGAGCGAGACCTGCTGTCGCAGTACTCCATGCCCTTTGGCCCTTTGGCCTCGGACAAGATCGGGAGGTTTCAGAACAAAACAGGGGTAGACTTAGGATACATTTTGCATTTTACCTGACTCAAAGTGAAGCAAACAATAAAATATACATTCTATAACTGGTTGCCTAACTCTAATCATGAAAACAACGACGCGATATGTGAAACACAAACCAAACGCCCTGAGAGTGAGGAAAACGGTGGATTTTCACTTGGACCCTGTTTTGAAGGCAGCCAAGAGTTGATAGGGCTAAGGGTCCATGTATTAAACGGACACAAACCATGGGGTCCGAAGAGCCTCAAGACAGCTTTCCGCATCTACACAGCGCCTCGATGGGTCTACAAAGCGCCTTGAAGCTTCAAGTGGGTCTGTATTTGTTCGAGCGTACCCCTTCCTGCGGCTGTTTTAAAGGAACAATCCAAGGGAAGCCACATTTTTTCTTTGGCGGGGGGGGGTGCCCCGTTCGAGCACCGCCCCAAGTAAACTTTCAAGCTGCAAAAACAGCCTTGACCATTCAAGTGAGCCAGCGGCAAACCGTGGAACAAAACCTTTGAGATAGAGCTTGAAGAGTTCAAGTAAACCAACACGCCGTGACTCAAAAGCCACACAATCTATTCAAGCAAATACCACGGGTAAGTCATGAGTTTCCCCGTTTTCCTTCTTACAACATTTGGGTTTGTGTCAATTAGGGAGCCCCTAAAATGGGTGGTTTCTTCAGGTTTCTCTTTGAACTCAACCAAAAGCAGGTTTGCTCCCAAAAAGCCGCAGGACTGTTGCAGGTTTCGGAGGGACCCACAGACTCCGCCAGAAGGGGTCGCGAGGAAGTGGCTTTTGCAGGCACTGGACCTGAGGCCACCCAGGTTTCCCATCAAAAAGGGTGAAGAACCAGCCAAGGCCTCGAACGGAGGGTTCTGCTTGAGGCACCCAAATTTCTCATTCTCATGCCCGTGCAAAATGGTTGTTGCTCAGAGGGCAATGGTAGCATTCTGAATGAGATGCCGCCTATTGGAACCTGATTGAGACCGTAGTAGATGAACAAGTGGGTGAATATGAAAAGCTGAAGTCTGAGGCTAGCCTTTCTCCAAAAACAACATAGACGTGTGCGCGCCCTCCCTAATTACAAACGAGACTTGTTGCAGGGAGAACTAGTGACCAAACCCCCCTTATCCTCAGATCGCAAGTCACCGCGGACAATCTCGTTCCTTAAGACATGGATGGCCGATGCGATTCGGCTCGATTCGATTTTTCGATTCGACCAGGGCCGAAGCGATTCGACCGATCCGATTCGACCAGCTTGCAAGGCTCCGGGGGCACAACGATGGAAGTCTCCAGAAACAGCGTGCTCCCACAGGCGTTTTCCCGGCCCCGAAAATGCATCTAGACGAGCGGTGGATTCTCAAGGCAGCTCGTAGAAGGAGCATGCTCCCAGATGAGTTTTCCCGGCTCCGAAAAATGCATCAAGACGAGCGGTGGATTCTCAAGGCAGCTCTTAGAAGGAGCATGCTCCCAGATGCGTTTTCCCGGCTCCGAAAAATGCATCTAGACGGGCGGTGGATTCTCAAGGCAGCTCCTAGAAGGAGCATGCTCCCAGATGCGTTTTCCCGGCTCCGAAAAATGCATTTGGACAAGCGGTGGGTTCTCAAGGCCGGCTTTTTTTATCCCTTAAGGGGGGGTAAAGGAATAGGGGAGCATTGCTCCCAGATGCGTTTTTCCCGGCTCCGCGGCTCGGAAAAATGCATTTGCAAGCGGTGGGTTCTTGAGGCAGCTCCTAGAAGGAGCATGCTCCCAGATGCGTTTTCCCGGCTCCGAAAAATGCATTTGAACAAGCGGTGGGTTCTCGAGGCAGCTCCTAGAAGGAGCATGCTCCCAGATGCGTTTTCCCGGCTCGGAAAAATGCCTCTAGACGAGCGGTGGATTCTCGAGGCAGCTCCTAGAAGGAGCATGCTCCCAGATGCGTTTTCCCGGCCCCGAAAAATGCATCTAGACGAGCGGTGGATTTTTAAGGCAGCTCCTAGAAGGAGCATGCTCCCAGATGCCTTAAGGCAGCTCCTACAAAAAGCATGCCCTCAGATGCGTTTTCCCGGCTCCGAAAAATGCATCTAGACAGCTCCAAGAAGGAGCATGCTCCCAGATGCGTTCTCCCGGCTAGACGAGCGGTGGATTGCCAAGGCAGCTCCTACAAAGGGCATGCTCTCAGATGCGTTTTCCCGGCTCCGGAAAATGCATCGAGACAAGCGGCGGATTCTCAAGGCAGCTCCTGGAAGGAGCATGCTCCCAGATGCGTTTTCCCGTCCCCGAAAAATGCATCTAGACGAGCGGGGGATTCTCAAGGCAGCATGCTCCCAGATGCGTTTTCCCGGCTCCGAAAAATGCATCTAGACAAGCTGTGGATTCCCAAGGCAGCTCTTAGAAGGAGCATGCTCCCAGATGCGTTTTCCCGGCCCCGAAAAATGCATCTAGACGAGCGGTGGGTTTTTAAGGCAGATCCTAGAAGAAGCATTCTTCCAGATGCGTTTTCCCGGCCCCGAAAAATGCATCTAGACGAGCGGTGGATTCCCAAGGCAGCTCCTAGAAGGAGCATGCTCTCAGATGCGTTTTCCCGGCCCCGAAAAATGCATCTGGACAAGCGGTGGATTTTCAAGGCAGCTCCTAGAAGGAGCATGCTCCAAGATGCGTTTTCCCGGCCCCGAAAAAAGGCATCTAGACGAGCAGTGGATTCTCAAGGCAGCTCGTAGAAGGAGCATGCTCCCAGATGAGTTTTCGGCTCCGAAAAATGCATCTAGACGAGCGGTTGATTCTCAAGGCAGCTCTTAGAAGGAGCATGCTCCCAGATGCGTTTTCCCGGCTCCGAAAAATGCATCTAGACGGGCGGTGGATTCTCAAGGCAGCTCCTAGAAGGAGCATGCTCCCAGATGCGTTTTCCCGGCTCCGAAAAATGCATTTGGACAAGCGGTGGGTTCTCAAGGCAGCTCCTAGAAGGAGCATGCTCCCAGATGCGTTTTCCCGGCTCGGAAAAATGCATTTGCAAGCGGTGGGTTCTTGAGGCAGCTCCTAGAAGGAGCATGCTCCCAGATGCGTTTTCCCGGCTCCGAAAAATGCATTTGAACAAGCGGTGGGTTCTCGAGGCAGCTCCTAGAAGGAGCATGCTCCCAGATGCGTTTTCCCGGCTCGGAAAAATGCCTCTAGACGAGCGGTGGATTCTCGAGGCAGCTCCTAGAAGGAGCATGCTCCCAGATGCGTTTTCCCGGCTCCGAAAAATGCATCTAGACAAGCGGTGGATTCTTTCAGAAGGAGCATACTCCCAGACTCCAAAAAATGCATCTAGACGAGCGGTGGATTCTCAAGGCAGCTTCCAGATGCGTTTTCCCGGCCCCGAAAATGCATCTAGACAAGCGGTTGATTTTTAAGGCAGCTCCTAGAAGGAGCACGCTCCCAGATGCGTTTTCCCGGCCCCGAAAAATGCATCTAGACGAGCGGTGGATTCTCAAGGCAGCTCCTAGAAGGAGCATGCTCCCAGATGCGTTTTCCCGGCTCCGAAAAATGCATTTGGACAAGCGGTGGGTTCTCAAGGCAGCTCCTAGAAGGAGCATGCTCCCAGATGCGTTTTCCCGGCTCCGAAAAATGCATCTAGACGAGCGGGTTCTCAAGGCAGCTCCTAGAAGGAGCATGCTCCCAGATGCGCTTTCCCGGCTCCGAAAAATGCATCTAGACGAGCGGTGGGTTCTCAAGGCAGCTCCTAGAAGGAGCATGCTCCCAGATGCGCTTTCCCGGCTCCGAAAAATGCATCTAGACAAGCGGTGGATTCTTTCAGAAGGAGCATACTCCCAGACTCCAAAAAATGCATCTAGACGAGCGGTGGATTCTCAAGGCAGCTTCCAGATGCGTTTTCCCGGCTCCGAAAAAAGCATCTAGACGGGCGGTGGATTCTCAAGGCAAAGGAGCATGCTCCCAGATGCGTTCCCCGGCTCCGAAAAATGCATTTGGACAAGCGGTGGGTTCTCAAGGCAGCTCCTAGAAGGAGCATGCTCCCAGATGCGTTTTCCCGGCTCCGAAAAATGCATCTAGACGAGCGGTGGATTCTCAACGCAGCTCCTAGAAGGAGCATGCTCTCAGATGCGTTTTCCCGGCCCCGAAAAATGCATTTGGACAAGCGGTGGGTTCTCAAGGCAGCTCCTTGAAGGAGCATGTTTTTGCGTTTTCCCGGCCCCGAAAAATGCATCTGGACAAGCGGTGGATTTTCAAGATGCGTTTTTTGGGCCCGGCAAAACGCATCTACACGTCCTGCTCCTTCCGTTCCTATGCTCGTTTCTGGAGTTGGCCCTGGACCATGGTTTTCGGCAAGACTGAAAGCTAGATGCGTTTTTTCGGCCCGGCAAAACGCATCTAGACCTTGTGCTGTTTTCGTGCTGGCAGTCGAGTAGCGGTAGTAGTAGTGGTAGTAGTAGTAGCAGCAGCAACAGTAGTAGTAGTCCAGTAGTAGTAGTAGTAGTAGTAGTAGTAGTAGTAGTAGTAGTAGTAGCAGTAGTAGTAGTAGTAGGAGTAGTAGTAGTAGTAGTAGTAGTAGAAGTAGTAGTCGTAGTAGCAGTAGTAGTAAGTAGTAGTAGTAGTAGTAGTAGTAGTAGTAGTAGTAGTAGTAGTAGTAGTAGTAGTAGTAGTAGTAGTAGTAGTAGTAGTAGTAGTAGTAGTAGTAGTAGTAGTAGTAGTAGTAGTGCAAGTGGTAGTGGTAACTCGCCCGGAAACACGACAGATGCATTTTTTTGGCCTGGCAAAACGCATCTACACGTCGTGCTCCTTCCGTTCCTACGCTCGTTTCCGGAGTTGGCCCTGGACCATGGTTTTCGGCAAGACTGAAAGCTAGATCATTTTTTCGGACCGGCAAAACGCGTTTAGACCTCGCGCTGTTTTCGTGCTGGCAGTCGTGTAGCGGTAGAAGTAGTAGTAGTAGTAGTAGTAGTAGTAGTAGTAGTAGTAGTAGTAGTAGTAGTAGTAGTAGTAGTAGTAGTAGTGGTAGTAGTAGCAGTAGTAGTAGTAGTTGTAGTAGTAGTCGTAGCAGGAGTAGTAGTGGTAGCAGTAGCAGTGGTAGTAGTAGTGGTCGTAGCAGTGGTAGTAGTACTAGTAGTTGTAGTAGTAGTAGTGGTAGTAGTAGTAGTAGTGGTTGTAGTCGTAGAAGCAGTAGTAGTAGTAGTAGTACTACTAGTAGTAAGAGTATTAGTAGCTCTCCCGGAAACGCGTCAGATGCGTTTTTTTGGGCCTGGCAAAACGCATCGACACGTCATGCTCCTTCCGTTCCTATGCTCGTTTCCGGAGTTGGCCCTGGACCATGGTTTTCGTCAAGACTGAAAGCTAGATGCGTTTCTTCGGCCCGGCAAAACGCATTTAGACCTCGTGCTGTTTTCGTGCTGGCAGTCGTGTAGCGGTAGTAGTAGTAGTAGTAGTAGTAGTAGTAGTAGTAGTAGTAGTAGTAGTAGTAGTAGTACTAGTAGTACTAGTAGTAGTAGTAGCAGCAGCAACAGTAGTAGTAGTCCAGTAATAGTAGTAGTAGTAGTAGTAGTAGTAGTAGTAGTAGTAGTAGTACTAGTAGTAGTAGAAGTAGTAGAAGTAGTAGTAGTAGTAGTAGTCGTAGTCGTAGTAGTAGTAGACCTAGTAAAGTAGCAGTTGTATCTGCGGTATCGGTAAGCGGTGTAGTGGTAGTACTAGTGGTAGTGGCGGTAGTAGTAGCAGTAGTAGTATGTATTAGTATGAGTAGTAGTAGTAGTAGTAGTAGTAGTAGTACTTGCAGAAGTAGTAGTACTAGAAGTTGTATTCGTAGTAGCTGTAGTAGTCTAGTAGTACTTGTAGTTATGGTAGTAGTGTTAGTAGTGGTAGTAGTAGCAGCAGTAGTAGATGTAGCAGTGGCAGTGGTAGT